GCCCAATGCTGCTGCATGCAACACTGAGCTGAAAGATAGTGACAGAATTAAAACCACTGCTAGTAGTACTAGTTGCAATTTGAGGGGATTAGGGTGGATAAACACACAAAAACAAAAAAGCACAACTTCCTTACTTAGGACATTACTTTCTCCTGTGTTCCATGCACTTCACAGAGCCTGCTGGAAGAAATGATGGTGACTTTTTTTTTTTGTTGTTGTTCGCTTTGTTTTGTTTTTCTAAATACAAGTAAGCACAGATTCCACTTGCCATCAGGGTCACAAAAGGGTTTGTGACCTTTAAATATAGCCCTCCTCCCCCATTTCCAGGGGTACGTTTTTAGTACTTTCTAAAAAAATGGACTTCTTTTAAACCATTGATCTGAAAATCTAAACCACTAATCTGATCAAAATTATTAAATCTGAAAAATTCAGTTCTGAGTGACTGAAGGATTGAAAAGTTCTTCCTCAGATGACATACTTCTCCCAGTAGCAAACAGACAAGTAGTCCTTAGTGCCTTGCAGTTCCTTAGATGAACAAATAACAATATCAGTGTAAGCATGGACTCCAAAAACAGACACAGTCAAGGATTGAGGGTGAATTTTAATACCAGAGTCAATCAAGGACATAGGGTGCAAGATAACAAGGTTTGGTTTGCTTTGTGCATCCTTTTTTTTTTTTTTTTTTAATTAATTTCAGTTTGTATCCACAAAAAACTTTAAATATCAATTAATTAATATTTATATTAAATAAACATTTACAGTTTAAATTAAATAATTAATTATATTTTTAAATATTAATCGATTAAGGCATATGTTGATCAGAGACCTCCAGTGAGAGGAAAAAAAAAAGGTGGTTTGTTTTTTTTGTTTGTTTGTTTGTTTGTTTTTTTAATATTCTGTAGACTTCAACATTCTTGCAAGCAAAGGAATTGCTGTAAACAATTTCAGTGGGGCACTTCAGTGAATAATAAATATCTCTGTAGTGTCTGACAAATCCATTCATTAGTAGTCTCATAGCTGAGCTAAGAAGAAAAAAAAATAACTATACTTGGAAAAGCAAAATGTTTTTACTTTTATTTTAGCATTAAAAGCTTTGTGTATGCACAAACCTTTGTATGGTTTGAAGACATATAACTGAAATGTAGCTTTCTCTCATCCCTGAGTTACAGCATGTTATGTCATTACAGTGCCCTGAAAGTCTAGATGTTGGAAACTTTATCAATGTTCTTGTACTCCTCTTCTGATTCCAAACTGAAGGAGAGAGCTTTGAGAGCATGCAAAGGCTAGACAAGAGCAAGACACTTTGAATGAAGTTAAATAAGATGTTATGTGTACCAAGCCAGAAGGGAAAGGACCCCAGTCCAGGAAGCTGTGCAGGAGCACAAAGTGCAGGAGCAGTCCTTCAACTTCTGTGGAATCTTGATGCATGTGGATATTACCCAGAAACAAACGACACCAGTATACTATCAAATAAAAATCTGTGCAACAGCGGATGTTACTGAGAATGACTATAATCCTTTTCACCACTTCTGTTGCTGGTGGAAAGCAAGACAGAAACTGGCTTACAGGAATAAATCAAGCTTCAAAGGTCAATTGGTTGGTTTGGCTTTGCATAAACCCTGCACTCGTTTGAATCTAATCCAGCCCAGCCAAGTGGTTGGTGGGATTAATTCAAATAGAACTTTTCCCTCCATTACTATGGCATTACTAAAGGTAGCTTTACTAAATGTTGCCTGTACTCTGCACTACATAGAAGATGAGCATACATGTATACAATACATTCCTATGCTGGCTCTCACTAATGTCATTTCCAATTTGCCTATTTCTGCACCTGGACAGCAGAGGCCATCAAAGAGCAGCTAAACACAGAAGCTTCTGATCTGAACTTATTTTGAAGAAACCTCCTGGAAGTAACAAGACTAGCAGAATGTTCAATAAAATAAAATATTTAAGAGAAAATAATGTGAATGCCTTAGCATACAGAATTTAGTCAAATGAAAATTTCTTAGTGTTTGGTAACTGGACACAGTAATTTTCAAACATGAGGAGAATCTTGCTTTCCAAACTAGAAGATGCAAGAAATAAAATGTGCATAAACTGTATGAGTGCATGACCTCTTCATATTAAGGATAAAAAATGGCTGATCTTCTAGTTTTGAGGGATTTGGGGAGTTTTGTGTCTTTATGTATTATAATATTTTGCTATGATATTGTAGTTTTTATATTATATCATCATTTACCAATGAAGGAACAGCTTCACTGTCCTAATGGTATGCCAAAAAAGGATGACACAAATCCCATCACTAATGTGAAGGGACGGTTGACATTATTCCCTGCATAAGGCTTCCTCTATCTGCTTTTTCTTAGGAGGCTCACTAAATTTCTCTGTTAAAGACAGCATGACCCTGAGCAAAGTTTCATGGTAATTTTTTCTATCAGAAAATGTCATACCTTAAAAAAAATCCCTTTACACCATAGTAAAGCAGCTCATACAAGATGAAGTAGCCTTCACTGTGCAGATAGATGTTACATTAGTGGCTATGTTAGTATGTTAGTCCTGTTTCTCAGGGACTAACACACTGTGTTTCTCACTCAGTGTTTCTCACTCTTGCATTTGGAGAATTCCTGGGTAACTTAGTAAACTGTGTTTTCAGTGGCTCCATACACCACATATTTGGCAACAACTGCAAGTCTTAACTTTTTCTTGCCAGATTGTATTACCTTTTTTTCTAGAGTTATAGGGCTAGAGTAATAAATCTGGTTTGTCAGAAACTCTTAAGCCCTTCAATATGTCTTATCTTTTTGTTTGGTTGGTTTGCTTCCTTCCTTCAAGCACCCCCAATATACTTTCTATTTTTATTTGAGTGGAAAGGGGAATTTTAGAACATGCTTTTGTTAAAATGTGAGCCAAATAACTCCCATTTAATGCTTAAATATCTGAAGCCAAAGAATGGGCATAGGGATTGATATAATATAACATCAATATAAACGGAAGAGCAGAGAGATTTGGAAGAAGATTCAAGAATTCCTCAAAGATGCCCATGTCTCCTAAGACACTACAGATGTAGTGAAGGAGAAAGACAAAATAAACAGAGCTTGAATACACAGAAAACCTGTTATTGCCTCATTAACTGAAACAAAAAGGAAATTCCTACCTACCTTTGAGAAGAAGTTGAGTGAATTTTGGTGAATGTGTACAGTATTATGTCTGTTCACAACTCTATCTTTCTGAATTTGTGCTGAGAATTTGTGCTGAGAATTTAGGCCTTAATTGCCACAGATGTAGTAACCTCGTATCATGCAGGAAGAACAGAACATTATGGAACCTTGTTTCAGCAACATAAATGCCCATTAGAGACTGTTTCTTGCTGGAAGTGGTTTAGCTTAAAGAAGAATGTCTTCAGGCATGTACCAAGATATTTTCTTATCAGAAACTCCTTTTTTGTAATGACAGAATTTAAACTAGAATGAGTGTCCAAAAGCTTTTAGTGGCTTATGCAAACTGAACCAAATCTTTTAGCACTTGTCCATTATTAAACCACATCATTAAAAACTATTTTACTTACAGAAAATTAAATCAAACAAACAGGATAATACTAAGTTTCAGGTGGCACTTAAAAGCCTTTCAAGTCCCAAGAAATAAAGCATCAAGAGGATTAGTTAGTCTTTTGGTGTCCCGAAGTATAAATGTATCAGCTTCATTAATATGAAAACATTTGGTAGGAAAAAAACAAAAAAAAAAACAAAAAAAAACAACAACAACAAACCCACAAACCCAAAGAATTAAAGTTTAGTATGCAAGTACTTTATCTCCCTGGGAGGTAGGAATGGAAATTGTTGAATGAAAGAAGAATAGCCCTTCCTGCATTCATTTTTGCAATGCATATGTCAGGGGGATTCACGTTATTAAAAAAAACGAAGGCGAAAATCATTTGATGTGACAGGTGCATGAGCTTCTGCAGATCTGAAGGGATCTTTGCAGATTAAAGTATTTGGAGAAGATACAGATTAAAAGAATGTGTGGCGCTTTCATTTAGACACGGTAAAAAAGAGATAGTGACTTTGCCTAAAATACACTGGGGTAATGCATGATATTATGCAGTGCATGATATTATGCAGTATTTCTGGTGAGATAGAGCTATTGAAAAATTCTGTCCTCTAGAACTAGTAGTGTAATTAAGCACTTATAAAAAAGAAAAGATAAAGACTTTTATTAGGGACTCAATAATTCACATCTATGAAAAATCTCAGATTTCTAAGCTGGGTAATTCAGTAAAGTGTGTTAATATCCTCTGTGGAATCAAATATGGATTTATATAACTATGCATGTCATAAGAAATGGGCCAAATGGATTTAACACAGGGGAATATGGAGGAGTTTTAGAAGGCATTATAAGAAAATGCTTCCATTTTGATTACTGTTTTCCCAATATTAGCCAAAAAAATAAAAAATAGAAATCCAAAACCAAACCAAACCAACCAACCAAACAAACAACCAAACAAACAAAAACAAATGAACAAACAAAACAAAACAAATAAAAAAAAACCATGGGTCTCTTTCTAACACAAAAGACATTTCAACCATAAAACAGATACTGTCTGCAAGGCGAAATAATTCACATGCAATAATACTTCTAGAAGATATTTTCCTAGGTATAAAAGGACTGGTAAGCAATACCAGTACACATATTTAGAAATGTAAAGGTTACAGAATAAACAATAAAAACAATGATGGTGGTACTGTGCCATTTCTGAAAGGCGTGCTCTTAGGAATAACCACGAGCAAAAAACAACACTGGAGATGACAAAACTGTGAGAATGCCTCACAATGTGCAAGACTCATGACAACACCTGGAAAATTTTTGGGATCATCTGCAGTCCTCAGCTGATCAAAATTATTGAAGCAAGGGCACAGGTCATCAAATGTAAGGACTTACAGGTGTTCATAAATGGATGATGACATACACTAGTATCTTACACAACATGATGCCATCGATTCTTAGTCAGAAATGTTGCAACTTGCTATCCTGCCTGAAAAAATGGCTTCAGTTGGAGCTCTGTCAGTCTGCTCCCTTAACTAAGTCTAATCACCATTCTTTCTTACTTTCAGCAGAACAGCTAAGAAGGACTGCAAAACAAGATGACCATAAATTACAGTATCTGTTGAAGACATTTTCTGTTCTGATCTCTTACATTTTTGGGTTGGAATTTTATGGATGCTTCCATGTTTAATTATAATCATGCATGGACTTTTCTCTTAAAATCACTGTTTTTCCTGTAATGGTTCTCCAAGTTTCTTTATATAATTAATGTATCATTCCAGGACTAAATTTGAAAAGGTAAGTGTTCTTTTAAAGCGTTCATACTTGAAGTTAATACACCTTAAAATGTCCTAGCTATCATTTTCTATTTGGACAGTAATGCTGGCTTAAATGATCTAAAAATTAGGGGTTAGCAGTGGTTGAGAGATTAGAAAAAAATATTTTCTTAGTTCCCTTTTTGCTTTGCTTTTACAGTGCACATTATCAAAAAGAACACTGATACAAATAGTGGTTGAGAAGCAGAATTGTGACAAGAGGAAGGTAGCTGGAACCTTCTTTCCGTTCTCTCAGTCTGCAAGTTTGCATCTCAGAAATACTCCCTGCTTGCTGAAATCCAAACATGTTATATGGGAACAAGTATGGTGGCCTGCAACACATTTTTTCCCTTGGTTCTTGGGAGTCAGCCCTGTTAATTTGCATCTCTCCATTGCAACTGAGACTGGGAAAAATGTTTCTAAGATTTAAGAGAAGAATACTTTTCATTTTCCACATTTCAATTGTTGTGTATTTCATGGGACGTAAGATAGATTTTCATCATTCAAAAGTGGAGTGATCTTGTTCTTACTGAAAATCATGACGTTGAGATCATGATGTATGATGGGAATCCTAAAAAGCTTTGTTCTACAAGAGATGCTGAAGTGCAACCATAAAGAAAAACTGAATCCTTCAGTTCTGACCCTCTTTTCTTGCCTTTTCAGGTTTCAAACCTACCATCTATTCCTTCTCTTTTCATTTGCTCCTTAACCACCCAGTTAATAACGTCTTTTCTGTCAAAATGCAGGTCATAGGGGATGATTCAACTATGCACTTGCTTATTATGAAGTTTCTGTTAGGAATTGGGATGCAAACCTACGCATAGAAGGAATTTGAAACCACACATGGAAAACAGGTAAGACTATGAATGAGCTTGTGTGTATGCAATATAAAAATGCTGCTTAGACTCTTTGAGGACTAATAGCAGAATTTCTTCTGTTCCTCCATCTCCAGACCACTTTACTATAGCATCATTTCGCTTCTATTTTATATATTTACTTTTTATAGTTGTATTATTGCCCTTTCCTTTCTAGCTCCATGGGCCACATGAATTGCATTAGAGATAGACAGGAGAACCCTATCAAGCCAAACCATGGCTTAGCAGTCCAGTATTAACAGCACAGGAGAAAAGCACAGAAAACCATACCAAAACAACCAGTAGTTTTTACCTGTTTCCACTTTCCTAGACTGTCTACTGCTTTGGTTAAGCAGAACACAGTAAGCAGACCTAGTGAACACCAGCCTGTGAAAAAATGTTTGGGGGAAGTATGCTTAAATATATCTTCCTCCTTTACATACTCATCTTCCATGCATTTTATCAACTGTATTTAGTAATAATTGTGCACACATTTAGATTACCATAATATTTTACATCAATTATATTATTCATTTAACTTAAGTGAAATCTTTCATAGGTTACACTGTAATAAAAATATAACTAATTGTTACCTTGCAGAAATCTAATTTTGAAAAAAAGTTAGTATACAGTTTCCACCTAGTAGCTTAAAGAACTATCACATTTTCTCTTCCCATGTTAAATACAAAGTTACCATTGGGAAGGAGCTCTTTTATATCAGCATATTCACACATTATATACTTCAGTAAAGGTAAAATCCTCAGGGCTTATTTTTCCCTGGTTGTACTTTTTAAAAAACTGGAAATATCTTAATATGGGTAATTAGTTGTAGCTAAATGTTATTGTCAGCTTGAAGTGAGGGATCTGTTCTTGCAGCACTGATGAAACACCATGCCCCAGGCCTCTGCTTAATTGTATGATTTAAAATGGTTAAAATCGCTTTAAGATCATATTATTATAGACTCTTGTAAACAGTTGAGCCACGCTAATGAGTTCAGAAGTGACTTGGGCACCTCTCCTGATAACATTTGTTATCCCCATGTAAACCCATGTTTAACCTTTACCACAAAACTATGCTTAATTTCTGTAAGTGCAGAGAATTTTTTTTGATGATTAAAAATAAAACCAGCAAAGCTTGGAAGTGAATTTATTGATGAAGTTCAAGCTAAA